CAATACCGTGGAAAAGCGATAATCGAATAAGTCGTTTATCTACTACCAGTCGACACACGCAATAGGGGTGTGACATTATGATGCTCAAAAGTTCGCGTTTCGTAGGTACGCGTACACATTCTAGTACTGGCTTTGGAATACGATGGAATTTGAACCTGAACTCAAACGAATCGGTCGGGGTATTCCAGTACATTCCCAACACCTTTTCGCAACTACTTTGGCGTTCTAAATTTACGTGTTGGGATACGGCTTCGGTGTCGGTATTCAAGCTGTTTTCAAGTTCTTTGATATTGGATACGAATGATCGAAGCTGAAACCCTCCTTCGGCGTGGACGAATTTAGCTTCCTTGCAAACGTGCTCTGCCTCTTCTTTGCTCTGAAATCTGGCTACGAAATCGTCTACATAATGGCTGTAAATAATTGCTGCAGCTGCGTCGGGATATTGTGAGCGGAAGTCCTCGGGGTTTTTGTTCTTGACATACTCTGCAATACAGGGAGAGCAAACCGCACCAAAAACCATTGACATCATAACGTAGTGCTGGACTGGCTGATGGGAGTCGCCATCACGCCATAAAAATCGCTGAGCATATTGATTTGGCTGTTTTACTACCACCTGGGAAAACATCTCGCGAATGTCGGCAGCCACAGCTACTACTCCTTCGCGAAACCTGAATAGTATATCTAGTAACGGCTTGGCTTGTTCTGCACCCTTTAGTACACAATTGAGAGATACTCCATTGACCTTCATAGCTGCATCAAACACGATCCTCATCTTTCCAGGTTTGTGGGGGCTCTGGACTGCAAAATGAGGCAAATACCAATTGAAACATGACTGCATACCTACTTCGTCCTCAGAAAGTTGTCTAGCGTAACCATTTCGTATATACATAGCAATTTCTTCTCTATACCTGGCGGAAAAACCTTCATCAATTCGCATTCTCTTCTCAATACCCAACAGTCGTTTGTAAGCCATAGCATAGCTGTTCGGAAGTGCTGGTGGAACACTTTTCCACAGCAAACCGCGGCTTACCGATGCGGCGTGTGTTGGCTTTCAGCCTCTGACGAGCGTGTTGGTTGTGTTCTGACTCTAGTTGCTTGGTTAACTCATTGTTGACACCAAAGTTATCAGCGGCGAAATATTCTGCAACCAGTTCGTGTAGCGATTCCAAGTTGTTCTTTCCTCGAATATGTAGTACCACAGGCGCTGTTGTTGGCGATCGGGTTGAACCGTAGGCTATCCAACCCAGCTTTGTATTAATAGCTACTGGGTTTCCGCTGCCAACTTGTTCTGTTGTAGACGGCACACTTAAATACGTATTGTCTAAACCGAACAGCAACGATGGTTTGACTTGATGATAATCTTCTAAGGGCAAAATCTTCAAATGGCTATAATCTGCTTTACGGAAGGACTGTTCTGGTAAATCGAGGTTACGAATGGTGCAAATATTTCGTAGCGTATACGTCGCTGTTGTACTTTGCCCTGTATTTCAACACTCACTTTTGACGACTCTTCAGTCGTACACCTTTGTCCATACCATTGTAAAGTCAGGGGTTGCTTACGTCCTTTGAGACCCAATCTTGTGGCTACGCTATCTTCTAGTAGTGATATAGCTGATCCTTCATCAACCATGGCATAAACTTCTTCTTTACCTTTTTTGAACGGCAGTTAGTCCTACACCTTTGTCCAGACCATTGTAAAGTCAGGGGTTGCTTACGTCCTTTGAGACCCAATCTTGTTGCTACGCTATCTTCTAGTAGTGATATAGCTGATCCTTCATCAACCATGGCATAAACTTCTTCTTTACCATTCGGTCCGAATAGCGATACTGGCACATATTTAAAAAACTGGCTATTTCGATGTTTGGCTACTCTGCAATTAAGTACAGGCTGAGTTGCAGCTCGACTTTGAGCTGTGGGCGGCGCAGAAGTTGAAGTCGAGGCTTCATGTAAACTTCGATGATGATAGCGGCGGCAGGCGTTAACGTCACACAACTTTTTTGAACGGCAGTTAGACGTGTTGTGTCCTTTACGCAGACACGAGAAACAAAGCTGCAGGGATTTCACCTTTTCCCAACGATCACGAGCACTCATTGACTCATTGAAAGTTTGACAGTCACTAATCGAGGGTGCCCCATCGCACACACAACACTTAAAACTGGCTGCGTGATCCTGTTGACGCTCACTGCCGACTAACATTACAACACGAGATGGCTGTTGATGTGGCGTTGGCTGCTGGCTTCTCATAACTGCGGTTGACGGTGGCATTAGGCCGACAACTCGGGCAAGGTCACTTAACCATTGTGAAAATTCTTTAATTG